ACGTGCATCATGTAATCACTTCCTGACAGGGAGCTCAAAATGCCAGGCCTATCCCCTCAAGTGGCTACTATGCACAATAGTTCACACCTACAGCCCATGCATAGCTTGTGACAAAGGTCCTTAGTATCTGATCTGTAGTTATATCTTTGAAAAGAAAAGGGAAAGATAAATAAAAATGTTGGAAGTCACATTTGTACTGCAGCAGCAGTGCAAGGGTCAACTCCAACAGCAGTGATGGTGATGGCGGGCCAGCACTACAGCAAGGGCTTGCCCAGTCTATTTTTCCCAAGCCCCTAACCAATGAGAGAAAGGCTATGCAGGAAAGGCATTCCTTGAGAAAGAGTGGCCAAAACAAGGAGAAAATTATATGTCTGAGAAAGAGTTAGTAGTCTGGATTGGCAGCCAAGCTTAGTGCTGGTAGTTACAATCACTAAGTTTTGTCATTCTTGGGAGAATGAAAAAAAAATATTTAAAATTGTAACTTTGTCCCCAAATCTTAAGTATACTGGTATGATGTGGTATAGAAGAGGAACAATAAACTTTGAGGCAATAGGTTTGTCTAGGCCATGGAGAAAGGTATGTGTACCAGGTGAGGGATCATCTCCAATTCTTTTCCTAGGAGGACCAAATCCCATCTCCTTATTAGCTCATGTAAAGATTTGGGGTAGTCTGAAGAATGTGGCACCTATAGAATTAAACTTATATCTAAGTACAAAGTACTCTTCACGGTTTCTTAATACTGAGTTTTAATCAGTATGTTCCTCTTTTGCCTCAGGGTAAAAGTCAAATGTACATCAAGCTTCAAGCCCTGTAGCATGAATTTGAGAAGTGACATGAATTGATTACAATTATTTCATTCCATTCCATTCTGCAGTTATTTTGGTAGAAAATGTACTAGATGCTCTAGGGGATAAACAAAAACAATACATCCTGATGCCAGTTCCCATAAGGGGGCCTATTATTCTTGTCTGCATTTTATTCACCCTATTCTAATAAGTTGATTTACCAAAAGAAGTATTCCCTTAAACCCTCATCTACAGTTCACCTGGTCTGTGTTAAGTGTCAGAATTATGTCAACCAAGTTAAGATCCAGATACTAATCTATGTGCTGTGGGAATGGGAGATGGAAAGAAACCCTAATGTAGAACTGCTCACTACTGAACTTGAACCTAAAGGTTAACAGGGCTTCCAACAGGAGACACAAACCATGCTTATCAATAAGAGCAAGAGAATAAAGAACAAATCTTGTTTGCATACTCCTGCCTGTACCCTTCCTCCCTGTCCATTAGGTATATTAGATCTGTATTTTCCATTAGTTCATTTATACAATTGTAAATTATTTATTATAATTAAATACAAAAAATTACTGTACAGAATTTAGAGATATGTAATAAGAACACTAAAATCATACACAATCTCACTTTTCAGAAATAAAAACTATTAACATTTTGGTGTATTTTCTTCCTTTCCTATGCACATATTTTTTTCCACAAAGTTGAAATCATACATATGTGTATATGTGTATTAAATTTTATATTTCAGATTTTTCCAAAATTGTGTAGAAAGCATTTTCACGTGTTATTTAATTATGCCTCAAGAATGTAATTTTAAAAAAATGGTTGCAGAATAATTTCCCAGCATTGAATATTATGTTGTTTGTTTAGTTCCTATCTTCTGAAATTGTAATACCTTTTTTCACCTACAAATATAGCTTTAGACGTATGTCTCATGGAGCAGTTTGCTAAGGGTTTGAGGCAATGGTAATAACATTATCTCTAAACCCTTTCCCTAAGGACTGTCACACAACTATCCCTTCAAAGACATATTGACTCCTGACTCCACCTCACTTGCTTCTCACCTGACTGAATCAGAGGGACAAGCTGTGATATAGGTAAGTTCTTTCCATAAAGGGAATATTTATTTGGGAGATATTATTAGCCATGATTGTGAACAGGAGAGTCAGATGAATGACAGTGTGACAAAAATGTTGAGGTATATAATTGTGTACCTGGTTCTTTATGCTTATGTCACCACATTAGAGCTAGTATATAGACTGTTCATTGTTTTTCTGCAAGCCAGAGATGAAAAGGGTTTAAGCCCTAAAGGCATGACCCAGGTACAGGGCAGGAATTTTCTGTATTTGCATAATTTATACTTGTCTTGAATAGCATATGAATGTCTTTTATGTTTTTGGCTTTTGTTGTTTTAATTTTTCCTGTTATATAGTGAAACTTTTTAAGAATCTTATGCAAGATTCAATATAATTTAGTTAATTCAAGAAACACTTATTGGACCTACAATGTATGGAACACCATGATGGATACATGAAAGGCGAGGAGGACCTAGCTCTGCCTTAGGAAACTTGTAGCCTCATAGGGGTGATGAGATGTACAAATAAATAACCATAAGACAAAGTAGATCATATTATAATAATATTTACTATGGAGAAATACTCACAAAATACTGTCATGAGGAAAATTAAACTGAACACTAAACTGTATATACAAATTGATTTTTTAAAAAAGATACCCGGGCTGGGATGTGGCTCAAGCGGTAGCGCGCTCGCCTGGCATGCGTGCGGCCCGGGTTCGATCCTCAGCACCACATACAAACAAAGATGTTGTGTCCGCCAAATACTAAAAAATAAATATTAAAAAAAAAAATTCTCTCTCTCTCTACCTCTCTCTCTCTCACTCTCTCTTTAAAAAAAATCCATATGAATGAATAAATATGCAAGGGTTTTCTGGGAACATTCTGAACAAGAAAAATAATGAGAAGTGTCTTGATACACGACTAAATCAGTCAGAGTCACTTCAGGTGAACTGGGCTGGCATGAAATAATCACACAAAGACAGAGAAAATACCTTTAAAAAAAAAAAAGATACCCATCAAAAAGCCTGAAAGTATAATCAAAAATGGTAATAGTGGTCTTCTGAATGATGAATTAAAAGTGGGTTTAATATTCTTCTTTATTTTTTCTATTTTTTTAAAAGAATTTATAATAAACCTGTGTTACTATTAGGATCATTACATGTAAACTTTATTAAATGAGTGAGAATATTACATAGCAGTAAAAAATGCAGTAGAAATGCAGAGGAGCAAAGATCATATCTGACTGGGATGGGGGAATCCGAAAGGCCTTTGGATTTTTGTTTTTCATAATGATGAAAAACTTTTATATCTTGGAAAAAGATAATGAGATTTTATTGAGTTGAAAGGCATATTCCTACACCTTTTTTTTTTTTACTTTGACTGTAGTCCTTCTCTCAATTAAGTTTCTATAACTCTAGTAGCTGCTAGCTGCCATATTACCTTTAATTTGTATTAGTTTAGATATGTCTTTAAAATAATTTAGTATACCTTCCATGGAGAGGTATTCTCTAAATAAATAGATTAATTCAAACACTATTCATATTCCTCGTTAGTGTATATAGATTTGCCAAAGAGTCTTTAAACACTTGTACCACTGATCCTAGAAATGCTTTCTTTGGTCATTGGCTGGCAAGCACTGCTCCTTTATCTCCTGTTCTGAGACTGCTGTATTTGTTAATATTCAACCCACAGATCATATATTTTCCAGGGTCTAACAGGCCCGTAGGAAAGAAACTTATTGTAATATTCCACAAAATCATCTGCTAAATCAGCCCATGAACTTCCTGTTCTTTTGATGGGTCACCCTGGGAGATGGGGCTCCCTGGAGTGTGTGCATGAAGTGCAGAGGTTGTTGGGACAGAGCTTAGGGAGAATGTACATGCTTCAGCTAAAGTGTGGGAGTTTTAACTCTGTGTGCCCCTGGGTGAAACTGTTATGTTCTCTTTGCCTTAGTTTCCTCAAATATAAAATGGAGATAATAATAGTACCTATTTATAGTCTTATTTTGAAGATTAAACTTGGCTTTAGTAAGCATTTGACATACAGTTGCTATTATTATGACTAGACTTGGAGGATTGTGGTGGGGTTTCCCCCTGTCCATAATAGATAACAGGAAGAAGAAGAGGCAAGAAAATATGCTGAGAAGGTAAGATGATCTCACCTTTCTTTCTTTGAAATAACAATGGACAAAAGAACATGCAAAAAAAATCGTTGGTGTACAATGTGATTCACGCAATAATAAAAGTATGTTCAAGGTAAAGAAGGAATGATTAACAGGATATGGGATTGGAAGGGCTTCGAGAGGACTACTTGGGCAGAGTTTTTGAATAAGTGAGTAGTAGTGATGCTGATGCAGGATATGCCTGGGTTTGGAGAGCACTGTGACATTGGAATGGTACTGGAGGAGTGTATAGTATGGGAGATGAGGCCATAGAGGGAGGCTGGCTTCAGCTTACAAGTGTCAGTGGCTTTACCTCCATGTAGCTGTGCATTTGGGTTAGAGCTTCTCAAAGGAGGTGAGTGTTCCCTGAGTCCTTTCTCCCACCCCATTCCAGAGCTGTCCTAGGCCCCTTAAAAATCATTCCCATTAAAGTGCAGCTTTGGCTGGGCAGTCTTGTTTAGTGTTGTCACGTTTTTTTTTTTTTTTTTTTTCTGTTTGGGAAATATTGGTCCCTAACTTCCCAGATACACCTGTATCTGTAGTTATCACTCCTCCACCTCCACTTGCCCCAGAAACATCCAGAGAGGCCAGTGAACGTTGCTTGGGATGCTGTCAGTGTTCCCTCAAATATCCTCTTCAGGGCTGAACTTGGATCCAAATAATTTAACTGTGGCACATCTATAGAGACAGATTTACTTATTATAGAAATAAAGTTCCAAGTTCATATGGCAAAACAAACCTGCCCAGGATCAGTGGAGTGAGCTTAGATGACATTCCCACATGAAATACTGAGGTGCTGGAAGTGTCTGTTTGTCAGGTGTGCCCTGGTGGTCATGGGGACTGAAGGTAGTGCCCATGAGGCCCTTCATCCTACCCAGCAGCATGTGACTCTGGTAATGATAGTCCACACTCTTAGGTGAAACAAATGTTCTCTCTCTCTCTCTCTCTCTCTCTCTTTTATCACAGAATGTGTTTCTTTTTGGTGTCTGTCAACCTACTTCTGCTTCTTTATGGTAAAGGTAAGTCTTTTTTCAAAAAATGTTGTGGGTATATTTAAATAGCCTTGATGACAATGAGGAAACAGTGGTTTAAAAATTAAAGTCAGACAAATGACTTAATCACTTCAAACCTCCGACTTTGTGAAATGCAAATAACTTGCTATGCAGGAAATGGTGAAGAGCAGATGGGAGAGTAACAGGCACATATTGTAGGGCATTATTGTTGGTTCTTCCTTCTTCCTCCGCCTTTTTTTGTAGTATTGGGGATTGAACCCCTGAGCTACATACCCAGTCTACTTTTTTTTTAAACAACTGCCAGCCCCCACCCCAATTTAATCTGTCCATTTGAGGCCATATCTGCATGACTATCCTTATTCACACCTATACTGAGAAACTCCCAACATTTCAAGTGACTCTGACAAGTGCCAATTAATACTATAGTATCCAGAGTGTTTGAAATCAGGTCTGATCTGAAAAATCTGAATGAACAGTCAGCACTGGGTTTATGTAACACTTTGTACTTAATTCTTCAAAAATGTGGTAATGGAACAAGATAGAGATGTTAGAAATGTTAATTTAATTCCACTAGCCAAAAGTCTATAAGCAAAAATTTCTTAACTGTTACTAGGTATTCAAACCTTACAATATAACTACTCTACACAGTGATCAAACATTTACAGGCTTCAGGCATGGGCCTTCTTTCAGGGACCTTCAGCAGTTCTGCCAGTCTTTACAGGTGGCAGCAGCTCGAAGACATCCTCAGGTTTGAGATAATTCAGGAGAAAGTGCAAGGCCTGGCCCACCAGGCTACATTTACTTGCTTTTCTTCTTCTGCTTAATGTGTGTGTGTGTGTGTGTGTGTGTGTGTGTGTGTGTAAGGGGGCAGTCAGGCAAGGTGAGTTGGCAATCATTCATCATCAGGAAGAACAAATAAAAGGAATGAGTATATATGTAGATGAGAATGACAAAGGTGTGTTTATTAGTTCTAATAGCATCTTATATTTTATAGCAATATTGTCAACCTAACAATATGTACTTGGTATTATAGCAGGCGTTTCAGACACCAACAGTTTTCTTTCTACAATTTTCAAAGTGTTTTCCTGCATTATTAGATTTTGTTGAGCTTTTGCCTCCAACTCTTAGGCCTTGGGAAGCTAAGGACACAATGATCTAGAAATAACAGAATGAAATTAACAAAGGTGATATTTAGATTCAAGTAGGCCCACCTGCAGCCACAGCCTTCAGAAGCTGGCTTTTGTATTGCCTGTTACAGCCTCCATAGATCACATTTCCTGATTCATTGGCTAGCATCTTTGGATTCCTGCATCTGAGACTCTTTCCCCTGGGACCAGAAAGGGTACAGCTGTAGCAAGACCTTCTGGGTAGACCTGAGAAGCTATAATGGAGGACCTCTCATGAATAAACTATATATTCTTGTGAGAGATTGAATACTAAGTGTCCACCCATCTGCTCTCTCGCTTCTCTTCCTCTGGGAACTTGATTGAACCCTGTAATATAAAAACAGTCCCTAAGACCCCAAGGTATTTCATAACAACCCAGAGGCAGGTTCTATTATTCTAATTTCATATGAGGAAACTAACCCAGAGAGATTAAGTAACTTGCCTGATGCCAAATGATTAGTAAGTGGTTACTTGGAACTAGAACTTGAATTTGTAATTCTTCAGACCAGGATTTTAATTAAAGTTAAAATAAAATTGAATAAAATTATATTTAAGTTTTTTAATACTGGGGCTGGTACTTGGGGGTACTACCACAGAGCTACATCCCTATCCCTTTTTACTTTTTTAAGAAGACAGGGTCTTGCTAAATTACTGAGGGTGGCCTCAAACTTGCAATCCTCCTGCCTCAGCCTCCAAAGTCAGTGAGATTACAGGTATATGCCATGATGCCCAGCTAGACCAGAATTTTTAAAACACCATAAAAAAATTATGACCACAGCCAGAAAAAATTAATAATTTGAGCAAGAAATCACCTGGTTTTTGAATTTTCAAATTTATCCTTATAAAGGAACATACAACTGTTTCTCTCTGCCTCCTTTTTTCCATCCTGCCTTTCTTTATATTCATTTATTAGTCATTAATTTGTTCATCAGACTTTTTGAGTGCCTACTTTAGGAGATGAAAAAGCATGTTTCAGATGGAAAACTTTGGAGTCAGACTCTAGAGTTTCATTCACAGTCTATTTTTCATAAGTCGTATGCCTTTAAGCAATTTACTTCACCTCAGTATGCCTTGGTTTTCTCAGTAGTAAATTGGGGATGATAATAGTACCTATCTCAATGTAGTATACTGATTAAATGAATTAAGGCCAGAAAAGCTCTTAGCATATGTTTAACACATTGTAAACCCTAAAAAAAACAACAACATAAAAAACCAACAACAACAAAAAACTACCCAATGTAGAATGTAGTCAGGATAAAAGAGAGGTGTGTGTGTGTTGCGGGTGCGGGGGGCGGGGGGGGGGGGGATTGTAAGGAACTGGCTTGTGGAAGCTGAAAAGTCCCAGTTCTGCCATCAGCTAGAGGCCCAGGAAAGCCAGTGGTACAATTCTAGTCTGAGTCCAATGTCTGGAGACCCAAGAAGAGCTTAAGTTTCACTTCAAGCCTGAAGGCAGCAAAGGATCTACCAGGCATTCAGGTGGGAAGGCTTCCCTCTTATAGGAAGGTCAGTTTTTTTTTGTTGTTGTTGTTGTTTTTTTGGTTCTCTTCCGGAATTGGATTGGATGAGGGCCACCCACAGAGGAAGGGCAACCGCTTTACTCAGTCTATCCATACAATGTTATTGTGATCCCCAAACATTCACAGACACACCCAGAATGATATTTCATTAATTATGTGGGTAATCCCAGCAACAGCCATGTGGCTACTGCTAAGGAACTTGTAGACTGTTATTCAGCTGGAATATCCTTTGCTGTCTGTCTGCCCCCCTACTCTTTGATAGGCTGATGTTTTGGATGCTTCCTTGCCTACTAACTTTGATCATTTGTATTTGCTCTTAGTACTTCACTTATTTTTAATTCTATTTCTTTCACCTTATTGTATTAAACAACATCCTTAGGCTCACATTGACTGATTCTTTCTCCTTTCTACTGTTTGTCACCTGCACAGTATCTCTAGAAGGAAAAAAAAAATACCTTTCTTACTAGAGTGCCTACTTTCATAATGCTTAATTAAGCCTCATTATTCTCTTACTCAAGTTGGTAATTTAATTAGTCATATAGGCTTAAAAGTTTGGTAATGGGCTGGAGATATAGCTCAGTGTAAACACTTGACTAACATTTGTGAGGATCTGGGTTTGATCTTCAGCACTCTTTAAAAAAAGCCTGGTAGCCATAACTCTAAAGGTCTTTCTCTCTCTCTTTCTCTCTCTCTCTCTCTCTCTTTTTCACCAGGAATTGAACCCAAAGGTGCTTAACCACTAAGCCACATCTCCAGCCCCTTTTTATTTTTATTTTTATTTTGAGACAGACTCTTTTGTTAAGTTGCATAGGGTCTCACTAAGTTGCTGAGTGCTGGCCTTGAACTTGCTATCCTCCTGCCTCCCAAGCTGCTGGGATTACAGGCATGTGCCCTAAAGGTCATTTAATTTTTTTTTTTAGATGCACACAATGCTTTTATTTTATTTACTTATTCTTATGGTGCAAGGATCGAACCTGTGCCTCACAAGTGCTAGGCAAGTGCTCTGTCACTGAGCTACAGCCCCAGCCCCCTAAAGAATATTTTTAAACCCTGAGAGACCTTATTTTTTTCTTCAGTGCTTCTGACATTTTTTTTCTTTTAGTTATAGATGGACAACTAATTTTTGTTAGTCATAGATGGACACAATATCTTTGTTTTATTTATTTATTTAAATACTTTTAGTTTTGGATGGACACGATATCTTTATTTTATTTATTTATTTTTGTATGGTGCTTGAACTCAGTGCTCCAGTACCCCACATATGTAAGGCAAGTGCTCCACCACTGAACCACAGCCCCAGCCCTTGTTTTATGTATTTATTTATTTATTTACGTGGTGCTGAGGATCGGCCCAGTGCCCCACATGTGCTAGGCGAGTGCTCTATCACTGAGCTACAACCAGAGCCCTGCTACTGATATCTTAATATGTGACCTTGACCGACTTTGCTTCCTGGAATCAATTTTGTCTTTTAGTAGCAGAGATATTTGAAAGAATCTGATTTGAGAGCCCAAATTTATAACTAAATTAAATAGGTATTGTTCTGGTTGAAGAAGTAAGGGATTGGAAATACCACTGATTTAGTTTTTATCTGGCCATTGGTGGCAAATTCCAAGGTGAGTTCTGGGGAAAACAGTTTGAGAACATTGAAGTAGGTAGCCTCTAAACTTTTTTCCAGCTATAACATACCAGGATTCTAATTCATGTTGTGATTCTATGAGTGTACATAGTGTATGGCAGCAATCCCCACAGATTTATTTACTGAATCTCTGTTTCTGCCTTTCCAGTGACTTTTTGGATTACTGAAGCTAGAGGGGGAAAAAAGCAACATTTCCAAGATTGCTTTATGGCAGAGTTTTGGGAGTGACACAGGCTCTGCCAATCAGCTGCATTTGCGCAAGGATTAAACTCACAACTGATCGAAGTGGGGAGAAAGGTTATAGTGCATGAGGCATCCTTTCTTTTGCCAATGTGAGTCTGGTAGGTGCAATTTGGCTCTGAAGCCACCACCTGCAGAGACATCTTTCTCACTCACCAGCTTCCTGATGAGGCAGAGGCAGCTGCAACTCTGGCAGACCAACTGTGCTGTGTCATTCTGAGCCTAGAATGACGCCAGGGAGGACAGAACAAACACATTGCAGGTCTCAACATCCATGCCCCTTTTAGTCTCTTTCCTCCAGCCTTCCAGTTATTTTGTAACCATCTAGTTCCCTGTACTAAATCCTTTTCTGCTTGAAATAGCAGAAGAGGTTTCTTTGATCTGCTTTGGAGCCTTACCTGATGCTGTGGTCATCAGTCTTTACTAACCCCATTTCTTCTTTGACATTCTCAGTGTCCCCAGAAGAGTTGCGGGCCCACCCATTCACTGATGTGACCCTCTCCTGCCATTTCTCCTTTGTGGAAGGCACAGAAAATCTTGAGTTTTCTTGGGAAAGAGAAGATATCACAGAGGAATACGAGGTAGAGAATGATGAGGAATATTACCGCTTTTTCAGACACTATGATTTCTTTGCAATTTACTCCAAGTTGGTTTACCAGTTTCACAATAACACAGAGCAACTAGAAGATCAAAACTCCTTGTATGAGGGAAGAGTCTCTGTAGATCGGACTGAAATTTCTGAGGGGTCTCTATCACTTCTACTAAGAAACGTGGATTTCATGGATGAAGCTATCTACAAGTGCTCTGCCATCACGCCAGATGGAAGAGGCGAAAGTACAATTAAGCTAATAGTAGAAGGTAAAGGAATTTAACAGATGAATTTGATTTCAAGCTCTGTCTCTGTTCGTCTGTAAGTTTTCTCTTCTGATATTCTCCCTTTCCCTCTTCTACTCAAACCACTTAGGGTTCATTTTATTCCTATCACGGGATCTAAGGGCTTGGAATGTCAATTTATCAAAGCTAAAAATATTGCTCTGAACAAAAAGTGCATCATTCATTCATCAGTACAAACAAAACAGCAACAGTAACAACAACACTGGTCTAATCCCAAATTTTCCAAATTTGTGACACTAAAACCCCCAAATTTGATAGGATATAATAGTCCTATATGAGAAGACCCTGAGATCTGATATGTGATTTAGTGAGAATAGGTCTGCATTGGGAGGCAGAAGGCCCAAGTTCTGGAACTTGGTCAACTCTAGTTTGAGCAGCTCCCTTAGCTTCTCTGGGCTTTACTTCTCTTGCTATTAATGTAAATTGGACTGAATCAATGGATCTCCATTGTGCCCCAGGTGTCGGTACCCTTTGCCAGATTACATGGACAGCTGTCTTTTGCTTACCAGAGACCTCATGGGGATTGAGAGTTCTGCATGGCAGAATTCTTCCAGGATAAAAGTAGGAAGAGATGGGAAAGTGGTAGTGGTGATTTGTTATCTTCTAAGGTCAGTGGAGAGCCTGGAATAAACTCACATAAGAAGGGAAGATTCCAAAATTAAAGGCAGCAGTGGTAGGCGAGATCTGGAAGGCAAGAGCATACATGTGTCTTGTTCTTCTCTTCTTATGCTTGAGGTAAAATTTTAGTTACAGTAAACCTTAAGATGAGTTGCCTTCATAGGGGGTTAATGTAAAAACTGAGGGTAAGATTTCTGTCACTTCGAGCCTCTTGGGGATGAAATAACAAGAAACTAATTGTCTTGTTGTTTTTTTCCAACTAGATTCTGAAATGCCCCAGGTGCGGTTTGACAAGATTGATGATGAGGACGTGGCCACCTGCGTCTCTAAGGGGTGGTACCTCACACCCAATGTGACTTGGATGGACAGAGCAGAGCGGGACCTGAGCAACCATAGTACTGTGGAGGTCCTGGAGGAGCAGATAAATGGCTTCTATAGGGTGTTCTCTGTCCTGAGATACCCAGTCAAATTAAATGAGAAATATGTCTGCCAAATAACAGAGACAGATGTGAACAACCAGCCCTTTAGAGTCATCCGCAAGTACCCAAGTAAGTGCAAATTTAAGAAGAGGGAAAGTAGACTGCATTTCACTGTAAAAAAAAAAAAAATCATAATTCACTAATACTTTCTAAATAACAAATGTATCAGACACTCCTGGCACTTTGGGGATTTAAAGGAGAATCAGGAACATAAGCTGGTAGCCTCGAGCAAAAGAGGGTAGTGCAGAGAAGTCTCTCTAGGTTCAAAAAAAAAAAAAAGACCACCCTTCAGGGACTGACAGCTTTTACCCTGATAGATGTGGCTGTTACCATTTATAAGGCTTCTGTTCCTCTGCTAAGAGCATCAGTTTTATTATGTGACAGGCTGAGTACTCATGGCAGCCATTTATCAGCCTCTGACCATGTGCCTGTTACTTTACACATCATTTTAAGTCCTTTGCTCAACCCTGCAAGGTAATTATTATCACTGTATCCCTTCTACAGAAGGTAAATGATTTAATTAAGAACATAGCTAAGAAGTACACAATTTGAATTTTAGATAAGCAACAAGTTATATCATATGTATGCTAAATAATTGTTACTTACCAGAAATTCACATTTATCTGGGTGTTCTAAATTTTATCTGACAACCCTGGGGGAGGTGAAGCTCAGGAGCATTTAAACCTCTCTGGAAGAACAGAAAGAAAAAACTGAAAAACTTCTTGCCTGGTTAGGAGGCTACCATTGTGCAGGAGAGTGGTTCTCGACATATTGTCCCCAGACCAGCTCAGGTTCCACCCAAAACCTACTGAATAAGAAACTCCAGATTATGCCTCGAAGTTTGCTTTAACAAGACCTCATTGTGACACATAATCATGTTTGAGAACCACTGATGTAGGACATGAGCCCTAGGTGAAGACACCCAGAGCATTTCTGTCCTATCCCTTCCTGTAGGGTTGGGGTGCCATCTCTTCTGACCATGTCCAGCAGGTGAGGAATACAGAGTTCCCTGCTCGTGCCCTAGTCCAGTAAAACAAGAATAATCAGGAAGACTCATACATTTAAATTTCACACTTCAGTTGCCTTTCCTTCAAAGAGGGGCTTACGTATTCCCCGAGACTTTTAAGGCTTTCCCACATACTCAGGAGTTGTTAGAGGTCTTTGAACATTACAGTGGGCCTCAGAATCTCCTGAGAACACCAGAATATGTTATTAATGAATTGATTTCAAAGAAATCCTGTTTTTTATCACCTTAAATTTCAACACCTTGAAAAAAACAGTCCCAGAAATACTTAAAAGGCCCCTGTATTTTATTTTTCTTCACCTCTTTTCATGTACTTATTTATATAAGGCCTTTGAGATCTGGCATCTGCTTGTTTTTCTAGCCACGTAGCAACTGTTTCTCAGCAGGCTGCCATTGCTCATTGCTCTGAGCTTGCTGATGCCTATGGTTTCTAGGTTAGGATGCGTTTTTCATATTGCCTTTGTACAGACTCCATGTTCTTACAAAGCCTTTGTTTTCTTGGACTGCCTCATGAGTTTCTCCTGCCTTCAAAATTTGGCTCAGACTTTAAACTCTTATTAATTCTTACTCTTATTTCAATTTGTTCAATATTTTATTCATTCATGGGTCAGATATTTGTTAGGCTTCAACTGCATTAAAGATGCAGCATGGAAAAAAACAAATCTCTGCCCTTGTGAAACTTATATACTAGTTGTGAGGAGAAATAGAAAGTAAATAAACAGATTAAAATATAAAGTATGTCACTGTATGAGTCCATTTACATGAAATAAAAAAAGGAAAAAAGAAAAATTAATTGTAACCCTGGAGTATTGGTAACATTCTGTTTCTTGTTCTGGGTGCTGGTTATATGATTGTACTCAGTTTTTGAAAATTAATCGGTCTGGACACTGGCATGCACTTTTATGTATCTGTATTATATTTCAATATAAAGTAAAACATTGATATAGTGTATCAGATGGAGAATAGTCATATAGAGAAAAACTAAGGAGAGAAATCAGATTAAAAAGAGGGGCGAGGGGAGAGTTGTAAAATAGGCTATCCAGAGAAAGTCTCATTGAGATGTTAAATTTAACAAAGACTTGAAGGAAATGAGGGAACCAGGCCCATAGAAGGCTAGGGCTGGTGGATTGGAAGAAAAGCAAGAAGACCAATGATTGGAATAGAGTTCCTGAGAGTGTATGAGTTAAGATCAAAAGATAACAGGAGGGGCTGGGGTTGTAGCTCAGTGATTGAGGCACATGTGTGAGGCACTGGATTCAATCCTCAGCACTATATAAAAATAAATAAATAAACAAAATAAAACTGTTCCAGAGTTGGATTGTTAAACAACTATAAAAACAACAACAAAACAACCAGGAGGCTAGATTGTGTGGTGCCTTATAGGCCATTGTAAGGGTTTTGGTTTTTGTTATTAGTATGGGAAGAGATGCAAGGCTATTGGATCAGGAGTGAAATGATCTGACTAAGTTTTAGAGAGATTTTTTTTCTAGCTACTCCTGAGAATGGACTCAAGAAAGGCAAGGGTGGGGACAGGGTAACCAGCTAGGAGATTATTATAATAATCCTGGTAATAAAAAGATGGTGGTTTAATCCAAGGTGTTAATAATATAAATGGTGAGAAGAGATTGGGTTATGTATATACATACATACAAATATATATGCATATACGTATATATGCATATATATATATATATATATATATATGTTGTAGATGTAAATAAAATAAATACCTTTATTTATTTATTTATTTATTTTTGTGTCCTGCTGATAATCAAACCTAGTACCTCACATGTGCTAGGCAAGTGCTCTACTACTGAGCTACAACCCCAGCGTGCTCTCTCTCTCTCTCTCTCTCTCTCTCTCTCTCTCTCTATATATATATATATATATATATATATATATATATATTGTTTTTAGTTGTAGTTGGACACAATACCTTTATTTTAAATTTTTTATGTGGTGCTGAGGATTGAACCCAGGGCCTTGCAGCTGCTAGGCGAGAGCTCTACTGCTGAGCCACAACTCCAGCCCCTATGTATATAATTTTGAAGATAGAACAAATTGGATTCACTGAAAGATTAATGATGGGTGTGAAGGGAAGAGGACTCAATGATGACTAAGCCTTTTGCCCTGAGCAAATGAAAGAGTAGAATCACCACTTATTGTGATTAAGAAATCCTGGAGTTTGTTTTGGAACATCTTAAATATGGAGATGTCCATTTGAGACATTAAAAGGGAAATGCTGAATAGGTGGTTTGAAATGAAATTAGAATTTAGGAGAGAGGTCCAGAGTTGAAACATAAACCTTGGAGTTGTCAACCTATGGATGATATTTCATATTATGAGGCTCAGATGGACTCTTCAAGGGAGTAGATATAGATAGAGAAGAAGAGGTCCAGGAACTGAGCCCTTGGCCCTCTCAACATTCATAGGTCAGAGAGATGGAGTGAAACCAGCGAAGGAGAATAAAAAGAAGGAGACAGTAAAGTAGACAGGAAACTAGGAGAGCGTCATCACTTGGAAACTGAAGAAAGAGTTTCAGGGAGGAAGGAGTGTTCAATGGTGTTGAAAGCTACTGGTGAGTAGTAAGTAAGATGAGGACTGAGAATAGATCATTGAGAGAAGAAGTATGAATAAAATTTGAAGCCAAGAATAGATCACTGGAGTGCTAACATGGAGGATAGTTTGCTTCACAGAACAGCAGGGGAGAAATGTGTACTTACTGGAAAAGCTCTAGAGTCTCACTTTTAATTTTCTTTTAGATGTCTGAATGTTGATAATGAATAGATGGAAAGGGTAAACTGATGATGCAGAAAAAAGAGGGAAATGACTGAGTAATGTCTTATGTTAGGTAGAGGGATGGAGTTAGATAAGGGTTTGTGTTAGATAAGATTATTTAAAAGGAGGGTTTGTGTTAGATAAAATTATAAGGGAGGGTTTGTGTTAGATAAGATTATTTAAAAGGAGATAAGACAGTATGTGGGACCGGATGCAGATAGGTGGGTAGTATGGTAGTGTGAGGATGTAAAAATTCTCTTATGTTGCTTCAATTTTCTTAGTGAAATAGGGTGCAAGTCATCAGCTAAGCCTGAGACTAGGGATGGCAATGTTGAGGAGAAAGAATGACATATGCATCTAAGAGAGTAATTAAAAACTATAACAGGCTTCTTAGGTAGTATTAAAGGCACTTTTGAGGTCCATGGTCATGAAATTAAACACACACATGGTTGGTGTGGTTTTCTGCAGCCTCACTTAGCTGCTTGAGTGTGGACACATAATGGGAAGTAAGTTGGGTTAAGCAGATGTTGGAATTTTGCCAAGAATGCATGACAAAGGGAGACAGATGAGTGTTAAATAGTGATTATTATGATCAGCCCTGGAATCTAAGCTGGGTTAGGGAAGATGAAGGATGCAAAGTGGATGAAGGACAATGAAACATGGTAGAAGGGCTGGGGGGTGTAGTTCAGTGGTGGAGCATTTGCTTAGCATTTGTGAGGCACTGAGTTCAGTCTCCAGTACGGGGGTGGGGGATGGTGTAGGGTCATTGGATTTTAGGTGTTCATTACAGTAAAAAAAAATGTTAGAGTGGGGGTACTAGAGAGAGTGAGTTAGAAAGACAGAAGGGGAGGGCAGTGGTTACAGAGCAAGATGCTTACAGTTGAGATAAGGGAGAGGTTGTGATTATTGCTAATGATAAAACGTAAGTTCTAACCATGGGGAAGGTGGCTATGATATAGAAAAACGTCCCTGGAAAAGAGATCAAGGACCAAAGGAGATCAAGGGGTGGATCATATATTAGATAATGACACCAAGAATTAAGAACTAGTGATAGAGATCCTGCCAGAGCCAGCAGCTAAAATCATGGAATGGTGAGAGAGGGAAGAGGGACAACAGAAGACTGCAACATGGAATGGTAGATTCTAATGACATTCAGTTTTAAGGTAGAGGTTTTGTACAGAGGAAGGAGGGAGAATGAGCTGGAAGCCATAATGAGAAACAAAGTTTCACATATCCCCAGTGTATGAAGGATGTTGGAAAGAAAACCAGCACATTTGAAAAGATTACAGAGAAAGAAGTATCCTTACAAGAGATCCAGGTTTCAGTTAGAGCAAGAAGGTAAGGGAAATGTTAATTAAAGGTAGAATAGAAGGGATTTACTGGTGATTTGTGAGGCAGATTCCAGCTGGTGCAGTAGAAGGGTTTCATAAGTTAGGAATATTTCAGGTTGGGGTCAGAAAAGGAAAATTCAGAGTCATATGTGACTCAGGGTCCATGAGATAAAGAGTAAACAAGGGGGCTTAGGGCTGTTTGTGGTTAAATGTATATAAGGAAAAGGATGCAATAGAAGACGTGGATGTTTGGAGACAGACCGTGATGGCAAAGCTGTCAACGTTGTAGGGGAAAGAGATGAGAGTATGAATAGAGTCACACAGAGTTCTAAGGTTCCTCGACTCCCTTTTGATTCTTGTGGGTATGACATGGAAACTGGAGAATAAGAAGCAGGTCAGCCAAATAGAGCAGCTCAGATTGTATTACAATTCAGGGGTGCTCTATTCATGTAGCTCGCATAAGACTGGCATCCTGGAGGAGAGCAATGTGACTACCCTGGGAAAAGCACACTCTTCATAGCACCTTGAACACATCTTCAAATTTGTTGCACTGCTAGAATTCATTATTCATCTTGTCACAAAACTGTGACTCTCTCACTACCAAGAATTAAGTTTTCCTATTTCTCTTTTATGGCTCCTCACATACAGTAGGCTTCTGGAATAGGTGTTAATTCTTAACTCCTGAGTCTTATCATTATGGACCCAGAGATACAACATGACTTAGAACCTTGACATGGAAATGTCCAATCTCTTGATTTCTTTTCTTAAGGAACATCAGAAATATTCTCCTAACTTCCACCCTACTGGGCTCACAAGCTAACAAGCAGACTCGGTGGTCTTTCCTTGCTGGAGATGATTTTCTTCCCACACTGAAAGGATTTGCTTACCTGAAGTCAGCTCCTCTTTTGAGTGGCCCAGCCCCTTGGGCCTAATAGACACATGCTAAGATCCTGGACCTATATTGCTTCTGTTTTCCTTTCCTCTCTCTAAGTTTGTCAGTTCCTTTCCTTTTCTATTCTTTAATTGTTCTCCAAACAACATTTGTAGAATGAATAAATCAGAATTTCCTTATACAAGTGAAGAAGAATTGTACATTGATGAGTAAGTTCTCCCTAAGGAAACTACCCTTAGAGGGTTCTTAGCCTTAGAGGGCTACCATTCTTAGGGAGAACAAAGAACTCATTGTTTACAACTATCTTTCTTGTGTGACTTTAAGAAATACATTTACAGCTGACTACAGAGTTGCCTTTAACACAAAACTCCTATCTTTAATGTTTCCTTTATATCTTCTTTTTTTCTTTGCAGAGCGAAAATATCCTCAAGAATATGACTTCTATTAAGAGATTTGAACAACATCTGCCCAAGGATTCATCTTGCCTTTTAGCCACTGAGACACCTATGATATTCTTTTTGTCTCAGATACCTACCTATCGTAAATAGAAAAAAGTAAGAAGGTAGCAAGTCCAGAGGTTGCATATTGAGTAAACCTATAGGAGCTCCCATATTTTACCTCTCTTATGTCTGTATGTTGAAATCCTGTTTCTTTATCTCAATTTCTCTGTTTTGTTAAGATTTACTTTTATTTGATCTCATGCCTGTCATGTGTTAACACATGAGTAAAATTAAACATCTTAAGTGCAAAATGAAGAGGATTAAAAGCTTGATGAACTGTCTACTTTGTGTATGTTTCATGGTGTGTGCTTCAGTGACAGATGACTTATTGGGGAGTGCAGAGCAGAGAAAATCTGCTCTGTGTTTTCTCTAAGCCAGATTTTGTTTTGTTTTTGCTGATGATGTTACATGGCACTTTGCTGACACAAAGGGGAACCTGAGAAAGAGGCATCTTCCTAAAAATTACTATGGATAAAGATTATTATATTTGTTAATATATTTGTTAAATATTTGTGCATTATTGGAGAAAGGACATAGAAATCTTGGAAATTCAAGAAGATGAAACTAGCCTTTAAAATTTTTTGATTTGTCCAGTTGATTTTAGAGTCTATATTATTATTATATCTCATCTTCCACATTGTTCCTTCCTATCTCTATGCCTTGTATCCACCTATTTTGTGTCTCTCCAAATTCATTTGTTGAAATCCTATCCTTCACATTGATGGTTTTAGGAGGTGGAGCTTTGGGAGGTGATTAGGCTATTAGGTTAGAGTTCTTGTGAATGAAATTAATACTCTCATAAAAGAGGCTCAAGGAAGATCCCTCTTCCCTTCCATTATGTGAAGATGCAATGAGAAGATGCATCTATAAACCAGAAGTGGGGCTCTTACCAGATACCAAGTTCATCAGCATCTTAATCCTGGACTTTCTGTCCTCCAGAACTGTAAGCAATACATTTCTGCTATTTATAAGCCACCTAGTCTATGGCATTTTATTACAACAGCACAAACAGGCTAGGGCATCCTGCTTTGTTCCTTTTTTGGGTAAGGGATTGGGATGTCTTTCCAATGGTTTGGCATGTAGGAATTGAGCTTGGGTTATGGAAAAGAGGAGAAAAAGGTCATGGGATAATAAGGGAAATGAAAACTATCTAGGAACCAGAAGTTTTGTTTTTTAATTATTTTTTAGTTTTAGGTGGACACAATATTTTTGTTTTACATTATGTGGTGCTGAGGATTGAACGCAGTGCCTCGTGTATACTAGGTGAGCATTCTACCACTGAGCCACAACCTCAGCCCCAGAACCAGAAGTTTTAATTGGCTTAAAACTCAAGATTTTTGAAACTTTGGATTCAGTGATGAAATAATTTCACCAGGGCAAAGCATATGACTGCTTCTAAAACCTTCACATAGGATGCCACAGGAAGGAGGCACACCAGAGAGATCTGTGTAGCTGTACATATCTGATGTCTACATTCTGAAGGTAAATTTTCACAATGAGAAACCTTTGAGGTATGCACCAAAGATCACAGGGGAATCCAAACCAGCTGGTATGACTCCCACATACAGCATCACTGGGGAGACCAAGTTGAGTTGGGGATCCCTTTGTAGGGGACTTCAGAGTCCTGGCCTGAGTTTCACTCACATATTTGCTTAAACCAAAGTGAGAGGAGGGGCAGTTGTTAGAACTACATGAAGAAATGTGTAAATTAATTATATATGCTAAGCAATTACATTATGAAGAACAGTGATTAGAAATTAATAGTTCATGTTAATGTGACAATCTTTAAAGGAAAATATTGTGATAAGGTAGAATGGGCATACTTGGAATTGAATCCTTTGTTCTTTGCTAGTTGTGAAGCCTTGGACAAGTTCCTAAACTTTATGGACTGCATGTTCCTTATCTGTAAAGTATCTTTTCACAGGGTCATTGTGAGAATTCATAGAATACATAATCAGTGAAAACAATTGGTAAAAATAATGATATTTGACACTTACGTAGTACTTTCCATGTGTCAGAAACTACTTAAAAAATTAACACACATTAGCTTATTTCATCCTCAGAAAAAGAAACAAATGAGGTAGTTACTATTATGCCATTTTGAAGAAGAAACTGAAGCATAGGGAGGCTAAATAATTTTGAGAAACATAAAAGGTAAGAGAAGAGCCAGGGTTTAAGCCCAGGAAGCCAGGTTGTTAAGTACTACATTATATTGCCTCTCAGTGTAGTAACAATCACAATTAGAACCATGTTCTAATGTAGGTCCATTATGAAGATGTTGAAACATGAAATTCAGAATGACTGGCATTCATGAAAGACAAAGAATATATAAAGATATAAAAATTACTTGAGCAATTACTGGATATGTTAGTTTATATAAATAATGAAGCTTTCATCAGCAGCCAGGGCCATTACATATTCATTTTATTTAACATGTATGGCAGCGTCATGATGCATTATTGTTATCTTCAGTTTGTAGAAAAGGATAGCAACAAAAACAAAGGCTTTGTGCTTAGCCTATCAGGCACTTTGAAAACTTTTAAAATACTTTATTTAATCCAATTTATATATTTATTTCATTTAATTCTCATAATAGCCCTCTGAAATACTTTCTGTGTTTTGAGATGGGGGTTTGTCTATGTTGCCTAGGCTGGCCTTGAACCCCTGGGCTTAAGTAATCTTCCTCTCTCAGTCTCTCAAGTAGCTGGGACAACAGGCATGTGCTGCAGTACCTGGTTCCAAATTACTATCATCTCCATTTTTATAAATGAGGAAACAATCACAGAGAATCTAATTTTCCCAAAGTGGTACAACCATAAATAACAGAGTGGGATTCAGACCGAGGTCTGGATTTCAAGCTCTTATTTACTCTTCTACATCTTTGGATCGCTGCATTTGCTGCTCCTACTAAATAGACTTTAGGGAAATTCTACTTGTTCAGATTTCAGGTTAGAAATTTCTCCCATGGTTTCTGATTCCAGAGCACTGGTCTTTTCTCATAATATGTGCTTTGTTCTTATAATATGATTACAAGCTCCCACATAGACTACTGACCTATTTCCCTGAGAGAAGATATTGAGTTTGACTACAGTTGTAATCCTAGTCCCCTTCCCAGGGCCTGGCACATAGAACACACACAAAAAAAAATCTGTTCAATCCTACATGTTCCCTTCATCTATTTAGGCTTCCCAAGTCTCACCTGTTAACAGTGTATGTATCCATATTTCTTTTTAACAGATATAAAATTACTTGACAAAATAGAGAAGTTATTTACATACCCAAAGCTCTCTACAATATAAATTAAATAATGCTTGGTTTTGCTCATTATGAATCAGAATCTTGATAGGACCCACCTGGTAGATAGCTAAGTGAGCCATCACACAAGGAATGGTATAATCAGGTTTTCATAAGGTATCAGTTTTTGAGAATGTTTAGGCACACATGCAGAATAGAACTACTGATGGTTTACCCCACTTATTCTCATACAATAACCCATAAAGGCTTTTATTTCACTCAGTAAAAGCTAAAGTCCCTACATAGCCTTTTAGGACCTCTCCTCGCAATCCCTAACCATGCTCCATCTTTGTCCTTTGTCCTCCACTTCTTTGTCCTTATTTCTACCTCTCACCATCTTCACTTCAGCCCCCAAGTGATATTCCGGCACCACATCACCTAGCTAATTCCTTCTGCTTAAAGTCTCTGTTGACCTTTTCAATGGGGCCTGTCCTGACCACCATTTTTGAAAAAATATTTATTTTTTAGTTGTAATTGGACACAATACATTTATTTATTTATTTTTATGTGGTGCTGAGGATTGAACCCAGGGCCTCGCATATGCTAGGTGAGCACTCTGTCACTGAGCCACAACCCCAGCCCCTGACCACCTTTTTTAAAATTGCAAACTGAGGCACTTTCTCATCTGCACTCTCTCAATCTTCCTTATCTGCTGAATGTGCTCCTTATCACCTTCTAACATACCACCATAAATTTTACCTACTTATTATGTCTATTATCTATCTGTCCCTGCTAGCACATAAACTCCACAAGGCAGAAATCATCATCTCTTTTCACTGGTCACTGATGAGTCCAAGCACTCACAATAAACTCTTAGAAAATACTTGGAACAGGGCTGGGGTTGTGGCTCAGTAGTACAGAGCTTGCCTAGCACACGTGAGGCACTGGGTTTGATCCTCAGCACCACATAAAAATAAATAAATAAAATAAAGGTATTGTGTCTATCTACAACTAAAAAAAAAAAAATTAAAAAAGAAATAAAATGCCTGGTAAATAGTAGAGACACAAAATAATTTGCTAAATGAACATAAATGGTGTTGATTTCAGTCTCCATTTTGCCTTTACTGTAGAAATAGAAATCACCCTTAATAGATAATAGAATAATTGTAGTTCAGTTTGGATCCACCTCTGTACTGTGCTTATTCCAGTTGGAATACTCTGTTCTGGAATATTCCCTGGGTTGTAATGGTAGATTTAGTTTATGCACTCCCTAACGCTGGCAATGACTACATCACACCACTCTTATCCCCGTGAGTGGACATTTTCTGTTCTTTTTGAGGACTTCAAAGTTCTGCTCTGGCTGTTTTCTGTCCTTAGGCTTCAATAATGGCACAGAGTTTAAAGTTTTTTTGTCTTAAAGCTAGAGAGGAAAAGATGGATGAATTAGTTTATATAAATAGTGAAGCTTTCAACAAGACAAAGAATACTATAAATAAATTCAAAAGGGGGAAAATAATTGCCACACTTATAACAAAAGGCTACTGACATGAATCATAAATCAATAAAATAAAGGCCAACAACAAACAGAGCAAAGGAAATGAAATAATTAATGGAAGGATGCTCAATCTTACAAAATAAATAATATAATCAACCAATTAAAAATAAAGCAACAAGGAATTTCATTTTTCTTCTATTAGTAGCCAAAAAAAAAAAAACTGTTTGCAAAAAATGTAGGGAAATAGAAACACTTAATGTATGTCCTTTTGGTGGAACTGTCTATTGATACAACCTCTTTGAAGGACAACTGGCAATTATAAGTATATTTATGAATGTATATGTCCCCTAAGAAGATGATTTTGTTATATTTTCTTCAATACAACTTGGGATTTTTTATTTCTAGGTGTGCATACTACTTTTTCAAGTATAACATATTAAATAATTAGAAAAAAAAAATTCCTTTTAATTGACAGGGAGACTACAAGGCAACATTTTCTTCCTACCCCATGCCATTAAACAATCCCCAGCCCAGCAGCAGTAGCCCATGAATGTCTTCATATCCCACATCCATGTTAGATGTGCTTCAGGACTGAGAGCATCTGCTTACATCTTATCCACTCATTCATATTCTATTTTTCTCTCCCCTCCCCCTCATTTTAGAAATAATTGGAGGACTTATAGAACTTGATACAGCTACTCAAAAAACTAATGCTAATTAAAGCAATTTATGCTTATATATTATTTATTCTTGTCTAATTCATAATATTAAATTTTAATTATAGGAAACTTATCTTCTGAAGTATGTTGTTCTATTTTAATATTTTTTTACTTTCTCAACCTACATATGCTGTAACAGTAGGAAAAATGTTTCAGAGCCTGATGGGAGGTTGGGTGAAGACAGCCAGGATTTAACATGATTATGACCAGGCACCCACTCATTTGAACAATTCCCAAATCCAATCAAGGTTACCTGGCTATAATTTTAGGGAAGCAAGGTTTATACAGATATAAGTGATATTAAGAAACTTTAAAACTTATCAAATGTGTTCTTTTAGAAAGATAGAATTAGTGGTTCTGGGGAGTGCATCATAGTTATGAAAATGGTAAGTTGGAAAGCAAGTATTGCTCATGTGTCTTGAAGGAGGAGCAGAAAGAAGTCTTAACCACTTATGATTTAACCAACCAGCATTTGGTCCACTTGGAAATATTGATCCCAAAGGGAGTATGCATAAAGGAAGTCATTAAGGTATTGCAACCCGTTTCCAGCAACGATTCCTTGTTTCACCTTCCCAAGTTTTCTTGGTTTCTTATACAGTTTTATCTGTAGTCAGCCTCATTAGATGCCATCCAGTCTCAGAAGACTCACTAGGGCCTTTAAGAGTCATTTTAGTTTAATCTCTTCCCAATATAGGAATGTTTCCTGCCATGTTCTGAGTGTTTGTGTCCCCACCACCAACTTTCACAGGTGGCAAACTAATGCCCAATACAATAGCATTAGGAGACGGGATCTTTGGGAACTGATTAGGTCACAGGAGCTCCACCATCAGGAATGGGATTAATGCCCTTATAAAAAGGGGCTGAATAGTTTGCTCAAAAGAGCTTGCTCACCTCTTCTGTCATGTGCAACAAGAAGGTCCCGTCTAAAGCAGAGAACAAGCTATCATCAGACACCTAAACTGCTATGCCTTTAGACTTATCAACCTCCAGACTGAACAATGAATTGTTTACATATTACCCAGTCTAAGCTATTTTGTTATAGCAGTCTGAATGGACCAAGTCACTCCCTGACTTCTCATCACTCTCTATCCACATCCACCATCCTACTAGCCCAAGTAAACTTTCCCTCCCAGCTGCATTCCCAAAATGTCTTTTCTCAATTTATTTATTTAATTGGCACATCATAGTTATATATAAAATTGGAATAAATTGTGATATATTCATATATGCACACAGCATAATTTGGTCAACTTCATTCCCCAATTTTTTCTCTTTCTTCCCCCTTTGCCCTTACCCTTGGTCCTACGCTTCTATTCTACTGATTTCCCCCCTCTTTTTCTGAGATCCTCCTTTTAATTCCTTTTTTCTCTCTAGCTTCTACATAATAGAAAATATTTGACCCTTGATTTTCGAGTATGGCTTATTTCACTAAACACCCAAGATGCCTTTAGGACAGACTCTTTAGTACCTTTTTTAAAAAAGGTTCCTGAAACTCAAGTTTACTTTTATGAGGAAAGTGGTTATTGTTTGTTTGCACAATTTTATTTGGCCTTGACTGAAGGGAAGGAAACCAATAAAACTATTATTTTATTTGTTTTATTTATCAATAGTAACCAAAAAAAATCAGGAGTTACAAAAACAAGTTAAATGCAATATGGAAGCATACTAAATACAAATACATTTTCACAAACACACAGGCAACAAACCTGTTAATTGTTTCCTGAAGTTTGACTATTTAAATCATAGGCTAAAGGAAAGACATTCAGACTGGTTCACATGGGCTTGTTAGCTGGTGGAAGAGCCCTGCTTTCCCAAAACAGTGATAGTCCAGAGTCACAGCATGTGGGAAGGTTTCCATGGACACTGGATCTTAGCAGACACTGCTTATAAAACCACACACACGCAGAAAGCCCAAAAAGCTTGCAGCTATGCCTTAAATGCTTTCAGAGGGCTGAAAGAACTGAACCTGATTTGATCCTGCATGTTCGTTCCATGCAAAGCTCTATGTGAGACTCCCCAAACTAGGCTATTTAGCAGCTTTTCCATGAATGGTCCTCAGATCATGTGATCTCATGGTGCAGACAACAGCTGCCCTATTTACACAGAGCAGCAGAACTCAAGAGGAATGTGGATTTGCTCTTGGGAATTCAATGTTGCAGGGTTGGGTAGAGTCTTGGATGGTTATCATTGTTCTAAATGTGACCAGTGAACAGACACTGTGGCTTCTTGCTTTAAACCAACTAGGACTCCTGCCCTCTCTCATTGTGTCCAAGAACTGGCAAAACTTCTTTTAATTAAGGCATGCTGCTGTGAGTTCTCCAAGGCACTTGGACAGGGAGCTGCATTTCAGACTGCACAAGGGGGTGGGGAGGTTCAAAGTATTTTTTAAATGGGATGGTACATGAAAGAATTTTTTTGCAGAATTAGAAGTGAAGTGGAATTTTCCCCTTTCAAAGAGAACAAGGAAAACTACTTAGAAGGAATTCTGGCAGACTTTCTCACAATTGCCTGTGCATACAAACTACATAATATGTAATTTAATTTTTGCAAATGAATTCTTCAAATATTTGACCTTGTTATGACAAACACATCTAAAACAGGGTAATGAGCGGGTATAATAATCCAAGGCCACAGACACAGGACTGACTGTGAACAACTGACTTCTCCCCAAGGTTCAGTTTGAAAATTCCGTCTCTGTTTTTCACCCCCTCAAATGTCAAACTTTCTTTTGTTCTCTTCTCTAAAGGGAAAGCTCTTTCTGACTCCAACAAGAGATTGCCCTTGCCATGCACAGCCGAAGACAGAGGGGTGGTTCTCTCTCTTGCACTCTCCTCCTGGGCACACTTTCCCATGGAGGGCTGGCAAGGGTCATTCAGGCCGAGGTCAAACTTGGACATCTTATTTTTGGCTATCTGACTCTTCTTGTTGATAAGGTTTATCATAAGAAGGAAAATCACAGGAACCTACCTGGCTCTGAACCAATTACCAGAACCACAAAATCTGTCAGATCAAAAGGTTAATGCATTCTTATCAGCTCACTGAGGAAACTGAGGCCCAGTAACAGGAGATTGGGGCCATATCACTGTGCTAGCTAATGGTAGATCAATGAGCATGTTGGAGGCACTGTAAGCCTCTAGCCTTTCAAACAGTGATTTGCCTGAACTTCTCAGAATAAATGAAAACAAATTAACTTTTTGGATCTTGAAAGCTTTATATGAAGACGCTTCATCCCCTGGCTTCTGTCTGAGGAAACTTCTGCCCTTTGTGGTACACAGCTGATCTGCTAGAAGCCAGAGGTGCTGACACTGTAGGGTATATCTACTCTAGTATGTGGTGGGGTTGGGGGGTCTGGGTTACAGAAGTTCCTGTACCAGGAAGCATCCCAAACTCCTTCCACCTCTGAAATGGTAGTACTGGAAAATAATTACAAAAGCTTAATATCTAGTCAAGAAAATAAAATATTATAAAACAACAACAATAATATAATGATAATAATTGAAGAATGAAGTCAACTTGCCAAAAAAAAAAAAGTGTTTGACAGAGATATAGCACCTTTGGTAAAAAGTATTTTAAAAATTTGGTTAAGTCTCTACGGGGCTTGAAGTATACAAGTATCTGCATCATTTGGGCATACCCTCCCAGAAACTCCATCCAAGCCTGCGGGACACAGTAACTAACAGGGTGGTTGTGTATCTAAAGGCAATGGAGAAGCAGAGATGCTGGAGGTCTGTCATGCTGACAGTAGCAACAGCATGGGCTGAAAGCAGAATGAGTTCCTCTCCACTGTCCTCCTGCAGGGACGGCCTGCTCAGTCTTCTCTGGCACTGCGTGTCTCTCCCTGCAGTCTGCACACAGCTGTGGTGGACTCAGAAAGGCTTCAGATCTGGGTCTGCTCCCTCCCCACCCTGATGCAGTTTCTTTACTTGCCTCTAGCCCCAGAGCACAGTTTCTCTGGAAGTACTCCTAGAAATGAAGGCTATGGCCCTTCCCCTACTAGCCAGCCACCCCCACTTCCTTTATTGCAAAACAAATAAACAAAATAAAATTCATTGCTATATAAGCAAATACTGGTGATTTGGCGATTTTAGCAGACACTTGCGTATACTGGACTCAGCGCTGGAGTGGAAGAGAAGGTGCTGGGTTCCAGACACTGTGTCTAAGTGCCTCTTCTTAGATCTCTTTAGTGCTCACCTTCTTGGTCTTTTCAGCTGTTTCCTTTGAGATGTAAGAGAAAATAATCATCAGGGAAATATTAAAAAAATCACTGGCATTTATCTGGGTCTCAAGACTTTATACAATAGAGAGCCTACATCCTGGGAACAAATCTTTACTCCTCACACTTCAGATAGAGCCCTAATATCCAGAGTATACAAAGAACTCAAAAAATTAGACAATAAGAGAACAAACAACCCAATCAACAAATGGGCCAAGGACCTGAACAGACACTTCTCAGAGGAGGACATACAGTCAATCAACAAGTACATGAAAAAATGCTCACCATCTCTAGCAGTCAGAGAAATGCAAATCAAAACCACCCTAAGATACCATCTCACTCCAGTTAGATTGGCAGCCATTATGAAGTCAAACAACAACAAGTGCTGGCGAGGATGTGGGGAAAAGGGTACACTTGTACATTGCTGGTGGGACTGCAAATTGGTGCAGCCAATTTGGAAAGCAGTATGGAGATTTCTTGGAAAGCTGGGAATGGAGCCACCATTTGACCCAGCTATTCCCCTTCTCGGTCTATTCCCTAAAGACCTAAAAAGAGCATGCTACAGGGACACTGCTACATCGATGTTCATAGCAGCACAATTCACAATAGCAAGACTGTGGAACCAACCTAGATGCCCTTCAATAGACGAATGGATAAAAAAAATGTGGCATTTATACACAATGGAGTATTACTCTGCATTAAAAAATGACAAAATCATAGAATTTACAGGGAAATGGATGGCATTAGAGCAGATTATGCTAAGTGAAGCTAGCCAATCCCTAAAAAACAAATGCCAAATGTCTTCTTTGATATAAGGAGAGTAACTAAGAACAGAGTAAGGTCGAAGAGCATGAGAAGAAGATTAACATTAAACAGGGATGAGAGGTGGGAGGGAAAGGGAGAGAGAAGGGAAATTGCATGGAAATGGAAGGAGACCCTCAGAGTTATACAAAAGTACATACAAGAGGAAGTGAGGGGAAAGGGAAAAATAATACAAGGGGGACAAATGAATGTTAGTAGAGGGGGCAGAGAGAGAAGAGGGGAGGGGAGGGGAGGGGAGGGGGGATAGTAGAGGATAGGAAAGGCAGCAGAACACAACAGACACTAGTATGGCAATATGTAAATCAATGGATGTGAAACTGATGTGATTCTGCAATCTGTATATGGGGTAAAAATGGGAGCTCATAACCCACTTGAATCAAAGTGTGAAATATGATATATCAAGAACTATGTAATGTTTTTGAACAACCAACAATAAAAAATTTAAAAAAAAAGACTTTATACAGCTGTTATTGACAGATGCATTCTTTTTTTTAAAAAAATATTTTTTTTCTAAATTTTTAATTGTAGGTGGACACAATACCTTTATTTTATTTATTTATGTAGTCCTGAGAATTGAACCCAGTGCCCCACGCATGTGAGGCAAGCACTCTACTACTGAGCCACAATCCCAGCCCAACAGATACATTCTTTTTTTTAAAATGTTTTTAATTGTCAGTGGACCTTTACTTTATTTATTTATATGTGGTTCTGAGAATCGAACCCAGTGCCTCACACAGGCTAGGCAAGCACGCTACCATTGAGCCACAACCTTAGCCCCCAACAGATACATTCTTATGCTGAATTTGAATTCTGGTAAGTAGGAGTTCTTTACTGAATTCAAAGCTGACTCCATCTGTACTCCTACGAAACAAGATCAGATCTTATTATTTCCATTTTAAGGATAAATAAAAGGATACTGATATTCTGAATCCCACAAATCCCAGAGAAGTGTTAAGAGCAACAACAGTTTCTGGAAGTAGACAGTCTGAACTTGAATTCAACTGTGCTACTTTCTTGGGCATACTGTGAAACCTGTATCTCAATGTCTTCCAACAGTAAAATGAGAATAAGAAAGTACTGGCTTTTACAACACTGCCTGGCATTTTTCTCAAAGAAGATACACACAGTTAATGAGGACTTAAGAAGATGTCCAACATCACTAGTCATTAGGGAAATACAAATCAGAATCACAATGAGATACCACTTCACTTCCACTAGCGAAGCTAAAATAAAAACAATAACAGCTATGTGTGGTGGTGCACATCTCTATCCACAGCTGCTCAGAAGGCTGAGACAGGAGGAGTATAAGTGTGAGACCAGCCTAGGCAATTTAGTAAGACCCTGTCTCAAAATAAAAGAAAAAGACTGGTGATATAGCTTAGTGGTAGAGAACTTGTCTAGTGTGTCCAAGGCCCTGAGTTTGATCCCTAGTAACAATAAAACAAAACAAAACAAACAAACAATTAAAAAACCACAAAAAAAACAAACAACCAAATTAAACAAACAAGAAAAAAAAAAAAAAACCAGAAAATACTGACAAGGATGTGAGGAAGTTAGGACACTGTTGATGAGAATGTACAGAGGTGTGGCCACTTTGGAAAATAGTCCTAAATATGGAGTTACCATATGACTCAACAATTGCACTTTCAGGTATATAAGAGAATTAAAAAAATATTATTATGGTTTGGATGTGAGTTGTTGGGTATCCTGATGATGGCAAATGCCTTCATTTATTTGATTGGGGAAGTCTCCAAAAGCAGGAGCCAAGAAAAAAACCCTCACCTGTAAGTCAATGCAAGACAGTTCAGAGGAAAGATGATTGGGTTGTGAGAGTCTTAACCCAATCAGTGAATTAATCCCCTGATAGGGATTCACTGAGTGGTGGGGTATGGCTGGAGGCAGTGGAAATTAGGGCGTGGCTTTGGTGTATATATTTGTATCTGGAAAGTGGAGTCTCTCTCTCTGCTTCTTGATCACCATGATGTGAGCTGCTTCCCTCTGCCACACATCCCGAGAAATGGAGCCAGCCTTCTAGAGAGTATGACCTCTGAAACTATGAGCCCTCAAATAAACTTTTCCTCTTCTATAGTTGTTCTGATCAGATCCTTTTAATCATAGAAGTGAAAAAACGGACTAAAACATACATGTTCATAAAAAAATTTGAAAACATATACTGACACAAAAGCTTGTACAATTAATATTCACAGCAGCATCATTCATCAGGGCTCAAAATTAAAATGACTTAAACGTCCATCAACTGATGAATGGATATACAAAATGTGGTATATGTGCAATGGTATTCAGCCACAAAGAGGAATGAAGGACTGATTCATGCTGTAAGGATGAACTTTGAAAACACTATCCCAAGTTAAAGAATTAGACCCCCCATAAAATAAATAAATAAATAAAAGACCATGTAGTGAATGATTTTATTTTTATGAAATATCTAGAATAGGCAAATCAAATCTATAGAGTCAGAAAGTAGATTTGTGGTTGCCAAGGGCAGAGGGAGAAGAGAATGTGGAATGACTTCTAATAGTTATAGGATTTCTTTTTGGATACTGAAAACTTCCTAGAATTAGTGGTGAGAACTGAATAGACTAAAACCCACTAAATTGCATATTTTTTAGCACTAAATTTTATGACATGTGAATTATACCTCAATTTAAAAAAAAATAATTAGAAAAAAACCATTGGCCACATTGACTGGCCACAGTCAGTTTCCATCCCCAGCCCCTTGCTTCAACTGTTTTGGTGGAAACTGGCATGGCTTCTTACTGCCACACCAGCACCTCTGCCTGAGGGCTTTCTCTAGCTTTGGAAGCCTAACACTGCCTGCATGTGCTGTAGCCAGATATGCCAGGGAATTAATGAACCCAGGTAGCCCTCAGCCAATGGCTGATGTGAGTTTTTGTAGAAATACTCCAGTTCCTCCCATCTCAGGCACAGTAACTCAGTTCCCGGAGTTCCCCAATAGGATTAAGTTCCTAGTGCCCCTGTAGTGCCTTGCCTGGATATTCTTCTTTTTATTATTATTATTTTGGTCTCCCTAAGTTGTTCAGGCTGGCCTCAAACTTGCAGTCCTCCTGCCAAGTAGCAGGGATTATAGGTGAGCATCTTCATGCCTGATCTGAATACACTCTTTATTGCTTCCTTCCTGAGTGCATTTCCCTACATCTCTTCTGCTGTTTTACGGGATTGCCTCCCACATAAACGCTCTACTTGAGTCCTTGTCTCAGTGTCTGCTTCTGAAGAAATTCCCATAAGACAGAGAAAATTAAAAATGTTAGCTACTGTAATTCACTCCCCACCATCTGTTACTCCACTGTAACTTCTCCACACTAGATGAAAGGAATTCCTGTGAAGTTTTTCCTTCCCTTTTAATTGGTTGAACTCACGTACTCACTCAAGACTTGTGAAATTAGGAAAAGAAAGACTAGAAGCTTCTGCTTAAACAATGGACAAGAGATTTTGACACAATCGGTGATAATAATGTCAAAATGCACGTAAAGAATGATCAATAAGGGGCTGGGGTTGTGGCTCAGTGGTAGAGCGCTTGCCTCGCATGTGAGAGACCCTGGGTTTGATCTTCAGCACCACATAAAAATAAATAAACAAAATAAAGATATTGTGTTCATGTACATTTGAAAAAATATTAAAAAAAGAATGATCAGTAAATATGAACAATTACTATCAATAGTAATTTTTTTTTTTTTACTCATGTTAAACATTTCATCTCAGTGGTTTAGTAGCTTTTGTGACTGTGATATTCCTTAAAAACTCAAACGTCAGGGAGAAGGCTTCTATTATTAGATCTAGTCAACAGATAGATAATGCAAGGAGCAGTATCCTGTTAAGACTACACAGCACAGTGGTAGAAGGACAGGCCCAGGACCCAATATTGCCACAGTGCCTCAGTGGACCTCTACTCTGCTAAGAGCGCTTTCCTTAAAGAGGCTTTCAACACACTGACATACAGTCTAAGCAGACCTCTGATTTACTACCTTTTGAATCTCCAGGAAGGAGAATTTTTGTCAATCACAGGTTCTTCTCTGACCATATGGTATTGAACTTAGATCCTTTCTATTGAGGTATGAATCCACTCATTTCTCACTGAGTGTCTACTGCATACCGGGCCCAGTGCCAGATGTAAGGGCACAACGATGAGCAAGTTATGGAGCCTGCTCTCCAAGAGCAGTTTTCAAACTGGGTCTGGGCACGCCATGATAGGAAACACTAATACTGCTTCAGATCATGCTCACTTGCTAATAGCAATTCTTACTTACATAGTCACTCACCAAGTTGTAACTTACATCTGTTGGATCTTGCTGGGCTCTTAGAGGACTTCATCAAAAACTGTATCCCAGTTTGATAATGCATGTGAAATGATATCATGCAGGATCTACTGTATTGAACAAAGTGTGTCTCCTTGGTCTCCTGGGGCAGTGGGCAGTGACTAAGTGGTAGAAGGGCCTGGAGGCAGCAGCAATACCTGAACCAACACAGTGGCCACCACTCACCTGGTGCTTTTGGAGCTCCTGGACATATCTGGTCACCTCCTCCTCTGTCTGGGTCTGGGTCCCCTTCTGATTCTTTCCTGCAAAAAGAATCAAAGCTCAGACATTGGCAGCTGTGGTAAGCCTGTGAGGAATTCACTAAGATCCACCTTATGGGTTCTCATCGACCGTTTAACCTATGGAGGGAGAGTAGATTGCTCACATTTCTCTTGAGTATGAAGCCATGCAGGGTCTCATACAACTGACATCTCCAAGGTAACACACTACAAACAAGAAATCTACCAACTATTCTCTGGCCTCTGTTCCCAGCGTCTTTCAACTGATGGCACATCATGCCAGGGGCTGGTCTAGCAGAAAAGCTATGTCGAGAACCTGGGTCCTGGCTCAGGAAATTCCTCTGGGGCAGTGATTCTTAATCACTTACATATCCTCAAAATGCCCCGATGAACACTTACATATATCATTGCTGGATGAGGGAGAGCTCATTGGTAGAGCACTTACCTAGTACGAGCAAGGACCCACATTTGCTTTTGATCCCTAGCACCACAAAAGGAAAAAAAAAAAAAGCCTAGCTTTCATCTTCAGAGATTCAAATTTAATTTATGTAAGGTTGGGCCTTTGCACCAGTAATTTTTTTAAAGAGGCTCTTGTGGTGTGCAGACAGGGTTATAAACACTACATTTAGTAATGTTTCCCAATTTTGTGTAGGAACAAACAAAACAAAACAAACAAACAAACAAAAAAAAACTACACAGGTTCCCAAGCTCTTCTTTTTGCAGATTCTAATTCAGTACATTTGGGATGGGACTCAGGAATTTCTGGGTATCAATCACAATGTTTACCATCAGGAAACACCAGGCAGTGGCATTGACCTGCCCCTCCCAGCAGTTTCACTTGGCCCTAGCTTCATGGGTCTACAACATCTTGATGTCCTGCTTGCTTTCTCTTTGGGATTTGTGACCTAATACCAGTTTGCTAACTTTCAGGCACTACCCCAGAAATGCCTCTGAACACTGCCTCTATAATTTCCTCTTAGATCCCAGGCCTCCATATCAAGACATGCTAAGATCCCTGCGGTACCACCATTGGGACTGCTCTTTAGTTTTTGTGGTGCTGGGGAGTGAACATGTGCTGGGCCTCAAACACTCTAGGCAAAAGCCCTACCACGGAATTACGCTCCCAGTCCCTGAATTATATTTTTATACCCAAACAGAGATCTGAATTGGGCCTTCCTGGGAGGGAGAACAAGCAGTCTAGAGCTGTGTGCCTATGGAAATAAGCAAATGATGGAGGGGATGATTTGAATTTTATCTGATACACGTGATGGGGCTTATCCAGACAATGATGCTTAGGGTTCTATAAACCAGCTGCATGCTGACTCCTGCATCTTAGAAATGGAAGACTAACTTTCAAAATCCAGAATGAAAGCAGTTATGTACTGAAGGTGTTGAGGGAAGACAAGCAAAGGGTGCTTCCTGGTTGAGGCAGGCCCAGTTGCTGTTTTAAGATGTTCTCTGCTGGCTTTAGTAGCTACTGTGTGTGTATTCTGGCTATTGCAGCTTGGTCTTGACTTCCAGCAACTTCTAGAAATTGCTGAAATATCTGTATTCTCCCTGCTCTCTGATCCTACCTAGAATTAGGCTGGTCTCCTGCCCACAGTGAAAATGGACTTGGTCCTGGGCAGTGGTAGGCTAGTGATCCCATGGACAGCGTGAGCCTCTGTTTATTATACTGTTGGTGCTCCTCAGCTCCTCGTCCAGGAGAAGCTCTTCCTAGCTCCTTGGGCTCCTCCTCCCAGTCACCATTTTACCTAATCTTCCTGATACAATTTTAGGTACCAATCCACTTCTTCTTGCCTCAGCTAACTTTTTAAAATATAATTTTAGGTTCACGCCCTCCAGTGTAACTTTTGGGTCTGGTTCCAACTGACCTTTCTACTCAAACTTAAGGTGATTCAATTCCATTCCAGACCTGGCTTCAACACCCTTCTCTGCCTTGCCTCCAAATTGAATAGTCCCCGGTTCTTTGGTAGGGCTTGATTTCTGCCATCACTGTAGCCCAGGACTGTGATGGGACCCTATTGGTTCTAACACAACCTTTACTCTCTGCTCTGTCCCCCTAATTTTTTCTGACATCTTTATCTCCCCATCCCTCCCTGCCCATGTCTCAACTACTTCAACATTATTTCAAAAAAATTTTTTTAGATTACCTAATTCTATAGTTCAATGAGGGTCTACAGATATTTTCATTTCCCGCCCCCCCCCCCCAGGTATTTGCAATACTAGGAGTTAAAATGAGGAGTTATTTTGACTTCCAATCACCTCAGTCTTATATATAGTATTCCCTAAAGTGTCACAAGGATTAAGTGCTTAGAAGAATGCCTGGCACATAGTCCTAAATTGGCGTTTGCTTTCATTATGATCATTCCAGCTCATATCAACATTTACACGTGGCCTTGGTCTCAGTCATCACTTGTTTGAAGGCTCAGCTGTGATTTTCAAACTTAATGCATCTGGGCCAAGTACTTCACCTATAGTGCTGCCCCTGGGAGCCCCGACATTACAAGTTTGGGTCTGTTACTCGCTGCTTGGGCTCCTTGTTCCCAGTCAATGTCCTCTTTCCCATGCCCCCAGCTGCTCTTTATTTCTGCCAGGGGCACAGCTCACCATCACAGGTCATGGCTGTGCAGACCCAGTTCCCACAGGCACAGACACAGCGGTTACAATCCACCTCGGTCTCGGCTCCATCTGCATACCTTTCATCCTCCAGGGCGCACTCTGTTGGACCAGAAATAAGACAATAATTTGGTTGTGAAGGTTTTGCTGTAGTCTGCACCTTGCCCTTTTCCCTGACAAGGCCTGCCTGTCCCTCAGAGGCACCATGGCTGAGCAGATACCCTCACTCAACAGAGACCCTTTTGGACCTTTACAGCACCATGGAGATGATGGGCTGGGGCCCAGTCTAGAACTGTGGAAAGGGATTTTCTCAGCCAGCTCTACAGAATTCCACCGACCCTCTCTATCTTGGCTCCCCCCAAATGCCTCCAAAACCCTCTCAATTTCTATGTTAGGCATACTCTTCTCAGGAGGGTTGAAAGATGGGTTGAGGCATTTGAGGAACTCTTGGAAGCTGAGTTTCCAGTCGGCATTTTCATCGGACAGTTCAATGAGCGCATCGACACAGAGTCCTCTGCAACAAAACACAGGAGAAACACATCAGCAAGGCTTCCGCCTCACACCCAAGACAGCGAAGAACCAGGCTCACATATAACCGGGGCCTCCAGGAGGCCAGGGAGAGGAGTGTTCATTGACCAGTTTTCTTTCTACACTGACCTGTCTCAAGCACCACCCAGACTGACTCCTATAAGCACCTAACCTTCAGTTTATTAAACTGGATGCCGGATCACTGAAACTTGTTCTAATGTTCTCAAGATGACTCAAGTTTTGTGAATGGTTTTGTCCACTTTGATTGATGTTTTCCCTACCTGCACACCCTCCACCAGCAACTGCCTTCCCACTGGTGTAACTGTCAAGTCAATTGGACCAAAAAAATCAAAACAGAAGAGATGACAGATGACATGAGAAGAATATGGGATTTGAAAGAATATGGCATTCAAGCAAGAATCACACTATCACCATTCTAGAAATAGATCTTTCAGAAGAGTTTTATAGAACTGCAATTCATTCATACCACCCCTGGCTTGGATTTAAGCATTGACTTAATTTACTACCCAAATGGTCTTGAGCTAGTTATTCAACATTTCTGAACCTGGTTTCTCACCTAAAAAGGAAAGACAGCTCTCTTGCTGGGATGTTTTAAGTTTCAAACACTGAAACTGTAAAACCTTATCTGACTTCAGGTTACCAAAATATGAAGGATTTGCAGATTCTATACCTTAAGGTCATAGACTATTTTTAGGAAGAATCCTTCTAGAAGATGGGCTTTGCACTTCTTTTGAACACAAGAGAGGAGCTTTTACTATTTTTAATTCTTACTGATGTACTGGAACCACACTAGAAGTTTCATGGATGTTGATTTTTCTTAATATTTATTTTAGGATAATACCAGAAAAGGAGAGGGATATACATTTATAACAATTAGAGCAATCACGTGAAACAGCACTGACTGTCTAATCAACAGTGAAGCTATTTTAGATTGAATCAATGTAATTCCTTCAGAAAATTAACCAATATAGTATCACCTAAATCATTCAGAAACAACTGTGCTCTGATGCAACCTTGATAATTTAAAATTCCAGTCTTTTTTCCTTGTAAGTTCTGGCCTAAAACTAACTATTTGATCAAATATCAACATATCTGATCAGTATATTAGTTCTTAATATATTAGTTCATAATGTTCACAGAGTAGAACAGGAGAGAGTTCCTATTTTTTCTTCATGTTGGCATGGGTGGCTCTTTACAGGTAGGAAGGGCCTCGAGTCCCCTCTTGTAGGCAGCGTTCTGCTTCATCTCACCTGAGCAGCTTGTTGTTCTCCTGGTCTGCATAGGTGGTGATGTTAATGGCAGTTTCATTCTGCTCCACAAATTTCAGGAACTCACTGGAATCCAGGCGAGAGTCGCCATTATCAAAATTCTAGAAGGGTATGAAGAGATTTTCAGGAAGGTTTGTAGAGCCCCAATCCCATCATTGCCTCCCCTGGACTGACCCATCTCTGGTTCATGTCATTCTTGACATCTTTCAGTCCTTCCTGGCCTGGTCCCAAAGAGCGATGGCAATAAAGGCTGGATCACTGTATACCCAGAGAAGGAAGCAAGTGACAGACCTGGATAAAAGCTACCAGGAGGCCTTTCAGTCCAGACCCTCCTCAGGAAGGCAGACTGGCCAGAAGTCCTGAGCTGCCTCCAAAGCCTGGGGTGCCTGAGTGTGCTCTGTGCCAGCCCTAAAACTACCTACCCTGCAGACATTCTCAACTTGGGGACAGACCAGCCACCACACCACATTCTCAAACCTGGATGCACACACAACCGCAGGGTGTGAAGTCGCACACGGTAAATCAGCAGCTGTGAAACCTCAGTGCTTTTAACTCACTGCTCTGGAGCAGCAACACAAGTGACCCTCCAAGTTCCCTTGGGAATCACACAACTCTGTCTTGCTGTATGATTCTAGCCTCCCTGCCATGATCTCACGGTCTAACTTTCACACTCATACCTATAACTGACCACAGCAGGGTGGTGCAAAGACCCTAATCCCTGAGGGCCCATTGCAGATGTGTGCACAGGTCCAGAGACTACTCCACGCAGGCTGTCCAGACCACCCAGATGACATCCCATGAGTGCAAGGAGAGGGTGTGGTGAGCTCAGGCATTGTCCCTTCATGGTAAAATGCTAAACTGAGACCTCAAGAGGCCCAGGCCATAGCTGCATGAAGGAGTCTGTTTCAAGGTTCTGATCAAATTCCACAATGGATGCTGCTGCTCTTCTAACTAGTTCCAATGTTACTCCCTTCCTAACTCTCAAATTCTTTCCCTGGGCTGCCTCATACTGCTAACCTGGGAAATAATCAGCATCCCATGTTACTTTCAAGGTGGCTCCTCAGATGGTACAAGGAATTCTGGAAGGAAAGTTTGTCCAGGTTTCTAGGCAGAAGGGACAAATGTAGCTACTGACTGTATGACTGCCATGTGCCACATGGGCTCCAATCTAAAGTTATAAATCTATCCATGGCATGTGCGATGACAGGTGTATATAAAACAACTATGAGGCCCTTGCTTAGACCTCGTTATCACTCTTGTCCTGATTTCCAGGAGCAGATCTCAGATACTCTTATTCACTATATGTTCTCCCTGAGGAAATTTCCCTGCAGTTCACCTGTGAGGTCTTAATTAATTAAGGGAGCATAATTAAATAAGCTTAGCCAGGAATATTCTTAAGAGCAAAGGACTTTCTGGAGTCCGAATGTTGCATGTGCTGGGTAGACAGAGAATATGTATAGGGAGGGGAAGAATCCCACATTGGCTGCACACTCACTATTAGAGGGACCCAGTGGACACCTTGAACCTGGCAACTGCAGGCCAGAGGCTCTCAAAAGGCAGTGCTGTATACACACATTTCAGTATCACTGGGATCAGGAGGCAGGCTTGAGGCTGAGGGGACATTCCATTCTGTATGTAGTCTTAATAAGGGCCCTGATGGGCCTCCACAGGCCAGATGAGTATGTGGAATCCATAGGAACACAGGTGTGGTATCTGCCCCAGAAATAGCATGAAAGGCCTGTGGGATCTTGATCTGGAACCACAATCCAACATAATTTACTTGGCCTCTGTTCAGTCAACCAGTTACAAAGACATAGACCCTCTGTATGCCTGTACTTCATGGCTCTATATTCGAGACAACAACACTTTCCCTCTGTGGGACTGCTGGATTGTAGAAAGGCAGGAAGATGAATGTTTGGAGACTCATGCTTGGGGCTCATGGTTTTAAGTTTGGAGACTATTCAGAGCAGATGGGTTGAGGCAGATGTTGACTCACTCACAGCAGCTGGGGCAATGGGTACATGACCCCAGGGAGACAAGAAGCCTGGCTCTAGTTTCAGCCCTGGCCTCCAGGAGTCAATCTGGAGTCACAGGGTATGGGTGACATGGGCAAGAAAGACACTTCCTGCTGGTCTTCCCTTCTCCATTCTGTAATTCTTTCACCTAAGAAACAATGAGTGAACCACTGGTTGAGGTGAAAGGCAGATTTTAGCTTTATTCAAATTCTGATTATATTTGCTTTTCCACTATTTTGATGTAAGGGATACCAGTGAGACTTGAGAGCAATTCAGTCTCTGGGAGGTGTCAGATCTGTCAGCAAGCAGCTGTTGACCTAGTAAAGGAGGGAGTCTCCCTGAGAAGACCACATAGGCCTCTGATAATCATTAAAAAACAACAACAACAACAACCCAACACTGCCAGTGTGTCTGGGAAGAGGAACGTTGTGTTTGGCAGTAGCAGTCAAACTCAGTTGGGAGAACACCCTAGAGAAAAGCTGTTTTCTCAAGGGGCCTTGCGGTTTTCAGCTGGGAGCCTGCAAGAGTATTACTGCTGGGGATGTGAGGAGGTGGAGATGTGTCAAGGGGCAGTGTGGCCTGGATTCTTGGGAATCAAATCGAATAGCAGATGTCAGAGATGCCTGAGGCAGGGTGCCACCAAAGGGCAACTGCAAACAGTTACAAGGTCCCAGGAGGCCCCCTGGAAGGAGCTTGCTGGGCCCCACAGCTCCAGCTACAATCACAGGGCAAAGACACTGTGCACAACAGGCCCTGCAGGAACCACTCCCTCGGCTTTGGAAAAAGCATTTTCTTTTAGTTACTTTTTGCTCCTGTCCAACTCTCCTGCTCAGCAATGTGACATGTTTGTCTATGGGAGAGGAAACACGCCTGCCAAGGGTTCTGTCCTGTGGGAGTAGCTGAGAGAGAGGACAAAGTGAGAAGAGCTAAGCTTTTTCATCTTGGTGAGATCTCCAAAACTTGGAATCCAGAGAGATTTAATCTCTGCCATAGAGAAGCTTCTATCTAAAAACAGTAACACAAGAGAAGTCTTAAATGATCAAATACCTCTTTTAACTCAACTCAAAATTTCTCCATCTGTAGACTCCAAAATAATAGTTAAAAAATAAGAATCCATAGACTAGACTGGTGTTGAGTGGGCTGGGTGCCCTCAGAGCTGCCATGTAGTCCCTCGAGCATCTGAATCTTTTCCCAAGTCATGGCTTATTAGCTCCAGGAACAGCAGGCTTGGGAAGCAAGTGAAGCACCCACCTAGAGATCTGTGTCATAAAGTGAAGGGGGCTTTGGTGCTTCTGTGAGAATGTGGGTACTGGAATGTGTGTGTCTGTGTGTACCTGTCACTGTGATGTGTGCATTTCTGAGGGTGGTATGTGTATCTGATCTATTGTTGCACATGTGTGTATGTGTCTGTGCTTCTAAGTGTGATGTTGTTATGTGTGTCTGTGTTCCTGTCAATCACCTGGAAGAGTGCCCTTTACTGCTTTCTATCAACCTTCAGGCTCTCTGAGAGCGCTCAGGTAGTCCAACATATTGCCAAATACTATTTCCTCCTTCATTTTCCCCTTTGAAACCAGCATCTTTCCCAACCCTAATTAGAATTCAGTTGCTTCAGGTAAATCTGATGGGCGATGTTACTTCCGAGGTTCATGAGGAATCTCTGACCCATGAGTTGCCAGTCCATTAACTCTTCTTAGATGAGGAAACTCAGGGCTATGGATGATGAAGTCAGTGACAGAGAAATGTTAATCTGGGCAGGTAAAAGGTTGAAGTGGTTCAGGTCTGGGTGAGATCAGAAGGTACCAAGTATCAGCAGCTAGCTCTGTGGGTGTCTTACAGGGTAGCGGACAGAGCTTGGGCATATTTCTCACTGACAGCCTCTCTAAGAACTTTGGTTTAACTGCCCCAAGGGGGCGGCATGTGTGTGCTTGATCCTGAAGGTTGACTGCTGGACTCCCATTTATCCAGGGGGTCACAGGGCAATTCCACGGCTTTGTGGGATGGTCGACAACATGAAAACACCCAGGAACTCTTAAGCAGCTGCATATTTCCTCCTGGGCAGGCAATGGGAGAAGGAAGCTTCCCCTTCTCTGGGCCTGAACAGTCCTGACTACAACACTGATTACCTTAAAGTACTTGTCTAGGATTTCACTGTAGTTGCTGCCTTTAGAGAACCAGCCGTCTGGAATGATCTCAGCTTCCAGCCACTGGATAATGCGACGCCGAAGCTCATCTCGATTGGCCTGATAGCAAACGACTGCAGGAAAGAGGAGAGAGATAAGCCAGGTGGTGAGGGAGAACCCCAGGGTCATCTGACACCCGCTCCCTGGGGAGCACAATGCCCAGACTCTGAGTCATCCCATCCAATCCCCACAGCACCTGGTGGGACAGGATTATCACACAAGGGTTCACAACCAGAAAGTGTCTAACCAGGAGTCAGGCTAATCTCACTAAAGCATTTATTAAGATTGAGATTGAAAATGTTGAAACAGAGCTGCTTAAGTGAGGAAAAATAGAGCAGAAAAATACAGAACATTTTCATTAACTTTAGGAAGAAAAAGGGGAAAAACTCAATGAGCAGAGCAGCTCTTCTGGCTCAAAGATAAGCTAAAGTAACACATGAATACATGAAAGCATAATCATTTGTTATGCTACAAGTTTTCTGATTTTCTTTTCCTTTTTTTTTTCCTGATTTTTCTCTGTTTTTATCAACCAGGTCTATCAAAACTTTCTCCCATTTAAAATTTTATACCACCTTGCTGAGTGCAGTGCTACATACCTGTAATCCCAGTGACTCAGGAAGCTGAGTCAGGAGGATCACAAGTTCAAGGTTAGCCTGAGCTAACCTTATCTCAAAATAAAAAGGGCAGGGGATTAGCTCAGAGGTAGAGTGCTTGCCTAGCATGTGGCAAGCATGTGCCAAGCTCTAGGTTCTGGGTTCAATTCCCAGTAACACACACACAAATACTCTCTCTCTCTCTCTCTCTCACACACACACACACATACACACACAGGCACACACCACACCATCTGTATCATCCTCTTTTATGAACAACAGAAAACTAGGGCCAAGGAAGGGCCATGTCAAAGCTCTGCTCTGGACAGCTGTTGTAAGCCATGTGGAAGCAACAGGTGGGATCCAGAGTTGGGTGGATGAGGAAACAAAGTAGAGAAAGCCTTGGCAGAAGGAAATTCCTGGAAGACAACATATGTTGGGATGTGAAGGGGGCACGGAGCCAGGGATGTGAACAAGTGGGCATTCTTCTTCACCCTGCCCTTCCTATGCCCTTCCTATTCTGTGTGAAATGCAGAAACTCAATCTCTCAGCCTCAATTTCTCCTTTTGTGAGGTCATTACAGTAAGATCTACCTCTCAAGGATATTATGAGGACCTGGAGAAAGCATGGGCTAAAGCAGTCTGGAACTACAATTCAAGATAAGATTTTAATCTGTACAGACAGAAAAAAACCACAGAAGTCTTACTGGCATTTTCAGTTATCAACTTTCGAAGGGCCTGTCCCTCAAAAGGCCTGTGACATGAGCATGCTTACAGAGTGTTGGAAAGAGGACTTGGTGGCCTTCCTGTCCAAGCAGTGTCACTATGAAGTGAAAATGGAAAATAGCTAACACCCCCCACCTCCAACAGCTGCTTTAATCGGCAAGCACCCCCCAAAAATGCAGTGTTTTGCAGCTTTTGTGAGCTGTGTTCTGGGTCACAGGTTCTGAAAACCGAAGAGCTTGTGTGCTCAGCAGGATCAGGCAACACAAGATTTCCTCAGAGATGCCTGCACACGGCAGGAAAAAAGCAGGCACTCACCTGGGCTGGCAGATGGACTTACAGATTTCTTCTCTGCAAGACAAAGGGAAAAATATGTTAACATAAAGTGAAGAAAATTTCTGCATATTTCTAGGATTAAAACTGCCCCACTCAAGGAGGGCTGTTTGTAGCCTTTCTATCAGTTTGTCTTAAATTATTATCTTTTCCTTCTTCCAGGGTCCAAGGATGGGATCTTTTCTTTTCTGCTTTGTTTGACATTTTGGGTCCACTGGGTTGCCCTCCTGATCTCACACCTCCTTCTGTTGGGTTGAAGGCTTCCTGGGATTTTGAGAATTCACGTGGAGAAACATTCTGGTCAGGGACTACATTGGGTACTTAACACCTGAGAAACAGTTTCTTGTTACTCCAGGGGAGGTCAAGACTGGGAGGGCTGGGCAGGGCGATAGCTTGGCAGGGGGCTGGTGTCTAATTAGCAACAACCACAGGATGCCTTCCCTTTTGCTCTAATGGTAATGGTTTGAGTGCAAAAAAGAAGAAACATAATAGTACCAGGGCTGGGAAGTGCCTAAATTTAATTTATACATTCTGAAAAGTTGTGGAATTCCTTTAAGGACTTTCTTCTTCTTATTATATTTATGTGATCACCTTAACTACTCTCTAGCTGCAGGTAGATGCTGGAAGGCCCCTGGGGCCTAATCCATAAAACCCAGCAGGCTCCTGAATGTTAGGAGGGTGCATCTCCAACCAATTGGATGGTCTTCTCAGCTTTGGGTGGCAGTGACCTTGGTAGAAAGGTCATATGGTCAGCCAGGCCATACACCACCCTTCCCTGTCTCTCCACAGGTAGAGTTACCATGTAGTGGTGACAGCATGCTTACCCTTGCAGTGTCCATCATAATCAACCTGGATTTTGGATCCAGTAAGGCAGGCATCGCGATGCAGCTCACAGTGGTTGAGGTAGGTCTTGCCATTACTGCCACACACAGGCCTCTTGTGAGGTTTGCATTGCTGAAATAGACCCGCGGGAGGATGCTTGTGTGGTTATGGGCACTAACATGCACTTACACACACACAAAGTCATCTTGTGAGGGAACTCCCCACCAGCATAGATGGAACCTCGATGCCGCCGTAGGACAGAGAGCCTCAGGCATGGCCATCAGTGATCCTACCCAACTTGATGCTGGAGGCACTCCAATGCTCAGTCCCTCATGGCCCTCTGTGTCCATCCTGATCCAGAGTCATCTCTTCAATTCAGTGAAGAAATGGATGTGCTTCTATGGCTCAAATATTTGTGTCCTCTCCGAAATTCATGTTGAAACATAATCCCCAATGCAACCACAGTTTTAAAGGCAAGGCCTTCAGGAGGTGATTAGGTCATGGGTTCTTTCCTCATGAATGAGATTAAAGCCCTAATAAAAAGAGACTTCACACAGCATTAGGCCCTTTTGCCCTTCTGCCTTTTGCTAGGTGAGGATGTTCAAGATGAGGATGTTCAAAGTGCCACCTTGGAAGTAGAGACCAGGTCCTCACTGACTTCAAACCAACTTGTGATTTGTAACTGGACTTCACAGCCTCCAGAACTGTTAGAATTAAATTCCTGTTATTTATAAATTACCCAGTCTCAGATTAATTAATGTATTAACAGAAAGGACATTTTATTGGGAGTCAGGAATCTGGATTTTTTGTTACTTTGGAAAAAGTCATTCAATATCTTTGGAAGATCTAAGATCTCTCAAAATTCCAAAAATTTATGACCCAAAACAGCCGGAGCTGGGAATATGGAGACTGATGGGTAGGGAAACACACACACACACACACACACACACACACACACACACACATATTTCAGTTCTTTTAGGGACTAATCATAGGGATCTCTTGTTTTGTTAGTATTTGGGGACCACTTTGTTTTCCTCCTAGTTTCACAACCTCTGTTGTGAGGCTGGGGTTGGGACTACAGTAAATCCTTATGGACAGGAATATGGAATAAGGTTCATCTGGCAACGAGGTTCAGCTTTGCCTACTGACAAAGATCACAGTCAAGCTTTGCCAAGACCACAGTCAAGCTTGGTTTCTTTAGACTTTTGTGTTTCTTGAAGGGAGAAAGGAAGAAGGGGAAAGCAAATTCAGCCTAGACCTGATAAAGGGACCGTAACAAGAAAGAGTCGATGAAAACAAACATATAAACTATCTTTATGGCATCTGGTGGGAATTAGTTCACTCAAAACCACACAACTATATGTGGCTAAGCCAAGACTAGACGTGAGGCTTCCAGATCCTAAGTCAGGGCTTATGCCATCACTTTGTAGTCAGTATACTTCTATTGAGGACCTCTCACAGCAAAAAGATCCTCAGTAGGATCAGGTTTTTAGGTTTCCAAGTTGGGAAACTTGCTTTTCTGCAGCAATGGATCAGGGTCCTGAATCTGGGGACTAAGTTGATATAGTTATTTGAGAAAAGACCTGGTTGCCAGGTTTTAGGTTGGTTTGACAGAGGGAGGAAAAAAAGAGCACATATCCAAGGTATTTATGTCTACCTTGGAAGTGAGAATTTACTAGAATTTTGACTATCTTTCAAAGGCTCACTTTGCTTTTTAGATGTCATCTAAAAACAAAATTGCAAAACCTGCATTTCTGTTCACTATTTTAAAAACCTTGGCACATCTTTTGACCTAGAGCCTTGGTGGCTTGATCCTACAGAAACAAAGGGAGAAGCATGAAAGGAAATTTGTCAAGAATGTTATTGTTTGTGGTGATAAGCAACTCAAAGAACCACTTACGTGGCCATCTATGAAAAAATAATTTAATAAACCTAGTTCTTTTATATTAATAAATATTATGCATCAGTTTTAAAAGGAGTTAAAACTGTTCTGTTCTGGAATGCTGTCCATAATATATTGATGAATGCAAGATATAAATTACATATCTTTTTATCTATAAGGATTGTAATTTCATTTTTGCATAAAATAGGGGGAAACACAGGTTTATATTAGCACACACACACAAAAACCCCCTGGAACAATAAATACAAAACTGATAATAGCAGTTATCTCAGACTAATGGGATTGGACAGTTTTGAGGAAAGATTATTAATTTTATGTCTGAATAAATGTTTATACTATTTGGCTTAAATAAAACAATTGCTTTTTGTTTGTTTGTTTGTTTCCAGGGTTGAACCCAAAGTTGCTTAACCACTAAGCCCTAAGACACATTCCTAGCTTGTTTTCTTTATTGTTTGTTTTGAGACAGGGTCTCCCTAAGTTGCTCAGGGATTTGCTAAGTTACTGAGGCTGGCTTTGAACTTGCAAGACTCCTGCCTCAGCTTCCCCAGCTGCTGGGATTACAGGTATGTGCCATTGCACCCAGCAATTGCCAATTTTTTAATTAAAAAGCTCTTATATAACTAAACATATTTTTTATAAGAAAAACTTCTACATTAAAAACTATGCATCAGATTTTTAACCCTGGGGAAAAATACTACATGCCTTTTACGTAGACAAGGTGTACTTTTATAAAGATAATGAAATTGTTGGCACTGCTCTGCTTATTGGCAGCTCCAGCAAGGCAGCCACACGGGTCTTGGCCACCGTCATTCTGCTCCTGACATAAGCACCTACCTCAATGCAGAGGCATGTGGGCTCTCCCTTCTCTGTGACGGCACATTCCCTGCCGGCTCCACAGAACACATTGGCACAGATTTTGGATTTGCTTCTTAGTTCTTCCTAAAAGACAAATAAAGGAAACCATGTTACTGAGATAAGCCTATCACAGGATCAGCCAATGGTGGTGATTATCTTTCAAGCTCGGACTTTGGTCTGGAGTTGCAACTCATGGTGCTAAAGGGTTTTGATCAGCCAAAAGTTGATCCTCCACAGTCAGCACCATACTCCCTGGCACTGCTTGGGCCTAGGCTCAGGTATCTCTGAGTCCTTAAGATTATTTCTCCATGAGTAAGAATTACTTTCTTTC